GGCTTAACCCTGATACGAGCAGTCTTGTTCTTTATAATAACGAAAATCAAATTATTTTAAGATTCACAAGTTTTTCACTCAAATAAAAAAACGGGTCTCGAAAGACCGTTTCACGTCTATCTAAAAAAGGTGTCTGAAAATTTTCGACATTGCGGACACAAAAAACTTGTTGAACACAAAGCTTAAGAGCAAATGGAAATTATCTATCACAAGAATGCGGACGTTTTGCTCTCCATTTTCCGTATGTAGACAAATATAATAATCGCTTTTTGAAAACAGCAGGAAAGCTTTCGTTCAAATTGAAAATTGATTGAAAGGCTAAAATTATGAATGCTCCTTGAATTTCATCCAACTAGGTACCGGTTCTCAACTGTTATTATTTTTACAAGAGTTAAGTTCGCATATAACAAAAGGGAATTGAAACTCTAGTTTTTACAGAAATATGAATATGGAGGGACCGTAATGCTGTATATATTCTCTTTGCACTTTTGCACCTATAATTTTAGTTTTTTTCCTCTCGGGCTACTTGTCCATGAGAAAAAAGTATCTGAACGTATTGCAAGGAATGGGCTTAATTAGTTTTAGGGTTGATTCTCAACAATTTTTTTGTCAGAAACCAGCTCCATTTTCTTTTGAGAAATTAATCATTTCACAATTATGAGAGTTTAAGGTCAAAAATAGTTCTTCACTAAGACTAGCTAAGCCCTGCTAGGCGAGCCGGGATATGTTGATTAGGTTTTCCGCATTTTAAATTTCTGATTTTTAAGACTTACTGTCTCGGCATCTGACATGCTGCTGTTCTGTTGTGCTTAATGATGTACTTCTCAAAAGCGTAATGATATACAACTCCAATTTCGTTTTTACTCCCCAGGAGAAGTTTTTTTAATGTTTTTTATTATTCTGGCTTAGCTCTTGATCTCGGTTGGTTTAGTCTTGAGAAAACGGCAAAGGAATTAAAACGCCACTTAAATAAATGCCTATTGGAATTTCTAAAATTACAGCGTGCATTTCATTTCTCAAAAAACCAAAATGTTACGCCCGATTGACAATTGTAAAGCGATAAAAGCTGGGTTTGATTTCTTTATTACAGTGGAGCAGATTTTATGACACCTTCGTTTCAAAAGGGTTTTTGTTAAAATTACTTGTTAAATCAACCGGTTATTGAACGCTTACAAAACGATGGTCATCCCTCAAAGTGGAACTGGGAGACTTTAGATAATGGTAGACCAGACAATATGGATCTGGTGATATGTCTTTGTTGTTGCTTTATATTTATTCGGCGTTTGAGGAAAAAACAGGTTAAATGGAAAGCAACAAATTTTTGCCCTTTATTGTATGAATGCTATTTTTACAGCATCACATGTAGGGCTCCACGTGTTACCATTGAGTTTTGGGAAGTCTCGGCAAATTACAGTTATTAAACTGGTAGAAATTTGTTGCTTAAACAAATAAGAACTTTTTAAAAAAAAATCCACTTAAGTTTTTAAACCAATGGTACAAATAGTGTTGTCTTTAAAGAGGTGAATAGCGTATGTTGTCTTTCTGGTCAAGGATGAATGGTAATAGTTAAACAGATTTGATTTTATGTCATATGTCTTCACAGCGCGAATACGCCATAAAAATATAGAGAGTGCTTTAAAATTTCCTAAATGAAATGAAAAGATGAGGCCATAAAAAAAAACTTGAGCCCAATAAAAACTTATGAAAACTTATTCAAAACATTTTGCCCAATAAAACTTCCATCATCCGGTAAAATAAAAGTACCTAATAAAATTTTCGTTCCAAATGGGATTAAATTAAGGATTTTTTTCCTGAGTTTCAAAAATACGAACCGTCATAAGTTGGTTTGTTCTCGGCAAAACTTCAATAAACAGCTGGCTATTCGACTTTTTGGGAGACAGAAATAAACATGCGATTGAACCACAGAGTTATTTACTACAAACGCACAAGAGTTACAAGAGAAAATTAAAATTGGATTAACAACGTCCTTTAGGTGTCCTTTATTGTGACCGTAAGACCGGGTAAATCTGGTAAATCAAGAGTACTATATTTATATCACAGGCAACTATAACACGAGCAGTGCCAAATCAGCTACTCTCTGCCAACCGGCAGAAAACATTAACAGACTCACATAAGGACAGATCCAAAATGAAATCCCTTTGGACAGATCACCGTTCACTTTGATATTGTGTTTCGAAGAACTACTTCAGGCTTCTACAAAGATAAATTCCATGTGTTCTGTCAACTTCAACGACCGGTTTTGCCTGTAGATTTCCTCAAAATTTGACGTTTATCTTCGTATCAGAGGCGGATCTAGGGTTTTCTCGGGGGGGGGGGGGTGCGGATTTTCAAAAATTTTTAATTTTGTCAACCTTTTTTTAGGCGTTTTTAAGCACTTTTTGGACAATTTTAACCAAAAAAAAATTGCACTTTTTGGCGCGCGCTCCCCCCTCAAAATTAATATATATTGGCGGGTCCGTCACCAAAAATGGATATCTCAAAATGGTACAAAGGGGGACCCTTTGGGTCGGCGGGGTGGTCGTAACTCTGAGAGGAGGGAGGGGGGGCTTCCGCCCCCTTAAGTCCGCCCCTGCTCCGTATGCAGTTTTTTTGGGTTGACTTCGAAAAATTCTAGCAAACCAAAATACCACAGTAGCGAGCCGGAAGATAGAGGAATTAAACACGCCCCCCCATCCCCCCCCCCCCCTTAATGCTGGTTGCCACACTTTTTCCTAAGGTTTTTTTCCTTCGGTACTGTTTTACGTCTGCCATTTATGGCTGACCAACCCTGAAATTTTCTTAAAGGGCCTTTGGCGCCAATGTACTCCCAAATAGGGTGGGAAGATTTTTGATCAAAATTTTGCCTGCCACTCTAAGTATGATCTGAATAGCGTTTTGGGAGAGTTCGGAAAATCAATTAGCCGACCTTAAAAGATTCACGAAGAAACCTCCGAGTATCTTTCGAAAAACCGACACTCCCCCCGCAAAAATTCCCCGTACACACCACTGCAAAAGTATTTTTTTTTCAAGAAAATTGGTTTGAACAACTCATAGAGGATTTTCTGTTAGATAAATTCAAAATAGCTGAGTGGCATTAACTTTTTTAAGAAAAAGTATAGATTAAAGTCATGATATGAACTGTTGTAGGTGGGAAAAACAACCATAGTCAGTCAAATGGTGAAGAATCAACTGCCTCCTAAATACGAAGCAACTCTTGAAGACCTCCACACCAAGGACTATCGTGTGGGAACACACACCGTCCGACTGAACGTCCTGGACACTGCCGGAGACCTCTCGTTTCCAGCCATGCGACAACTATCAATCTCAACTGCTACCGCTTTCGTGCTTGTTTATTCCGTCACCGAGGAATCCTCCTTTAAAGAGGTCAAACAACTTTTCTACGAAATAAAGGAAAGCAAGGTTAACTTCGCTGAGATTCCGATGGTCATCGTCGGCAATAAAAAGGATAGACACAATATGCGTGAAGTGACTCAAGATGAGGTCGAGGAGTTCATCAGTTCCGAAGGTTGGGCAGCGGGGTTCCTCGAAATCTCAGCTCTCAAGTTTCCGCAGGTCTTGGAACTTCTACAGAAACTAGTTCTGCAGTGGCGGCATCCAATTTCAAAAGAATTGAACTCGATGCTGAAGTTTAAGCTGAAAGATATCAAGTTGGTCGATGAAACCAAAAACAACAATTTGGCTGTTTCGACTGACTCAGGGGTCAAAAGGTCACAGAGCTTGTACCGGAGGACTAGTAAGAAAAAGGACAAAAACTCTGGGCCGCCCACAACTGAGCATACTCAACATAGGGGAGGAAGGCGACAATCTATGGAAATGGAATCTATCCAAATAGGAGATTGTTCGCTTATGTGATGTGAAAACGCAAAACTTTTTCCCAGATCTGTTTTCTGGATTATATCTTTAACCGACACCTTTTTACCGACTTTTGATGTTTATGTTTTTTCCCAGTCAATGGCGCCCACAGGAATTTTTTTTGAGGGTGGGGAAGGGGGGTGAATTTTCAAAAAAAAAATGTTGAAAATTTTGTCGACCTTTTTTTAAACGACCGATTTGAACACCCCTAAAGCCTATAAGAACCCTAATTTGAAAAAAAAAAAGTTGCCGCAGGTGAATTTTTGAAATAAAAACGTGCAAGAAATGATGTCTTCAGGCTCTTTTTAAAGACTTTGGTTTAAAAAAAATGCGGTTTTTGGCGCACGCGCCCTTCCTCCTCAACTTAAGTTATATTGGCGCCAAAAAAATCAGAGGTTGGTCAACCAAATATAAGTTTTGTAAAATAATACCAAAGGGGACCTTTGGAAAAATTTAAAAAGTGAAGAAGAATTGAGGGAGGAGGCGGTCGCCCCATCCCCCGGTTTCATGTTCGGCACGCTACTGTCCCTAGTAAGGTTTATATTAGGGAGTGTTCAATTAATGGTGCTTGACGTTAATCACTTGATGATCTCCGAAACCCTTCGCTATCAGGCTGTAAAAGTGAACATTTACTCATCAATTATTCAAATCTAATTACGCCTTATTACCGGTGGAAGGCTGTTATTAGGAAGATGAGAGGTAATCCAGTCGAAAGTACTTTGAGCCTAAGCTTGAACAGATTTTATAGCAGGCCGAAAATGATCAGATTGGTTAATTAAACTGCGCTTGATAAGCCTTATTAAGAGCTGCCATATTATCTAGACTTTGCTTTTAAGATATCATGGCTCGCCGAAAAATTGGGTCTCTCAGATTGAATTTAGACGCTATCGTTGAGAGGCTACTTGATAAACCCAGCCAGCATCGCGGAAGGTTTCTTACATTAAGATAAATAATTTTGCCCTACATGTAATAAAAAAGGGCGGGGAGAAAACAGATCCTTAACAATGTGTGTAGTCCTTGTATTTATCATTTGTTCTATCAAAAATTATACAATCAAGGGATCAAATAGGTAACATTTATATAACACCTGTACAGTATTTCAATGAGAAAAATCCAAGAAAAATGTTATAGGGAAGCTGATGACAGGAAAGAGCGTCTACAAGCAGAACGCTAATATATCATTCTTTCTATTTTTATTGTCACAGAAGCACTTTAAACGCAATCACTGCTTGATTTATCATGCAAATGAATCTGAAAAACACAATGGATTTCTCTGATTACCTTCCACCAAGAGTTCATTTGATCCCTTGTCTATATTATTGATGTATTTCTTATAAAAATCATGAAAACTCGTTTGCTAAGATTTTCCTTTTCGTAGAGAATGAATTTGTCAATAATAATTTCAAACAATTCAACGCAACTGAATTAGTGTTTTATTAAGTCTATTGCAGAGTTAAAGTTTACCTAAAAATACCCGATTTGACCTCCATTTATGCAGAACAGGCAAATGCTGCAAAAACAATTTTAGGAGACAAGTGACGAAAATTTGCAGCATGTAATTTCTATCAGATTTTGTTAACTATCCTCCCCCTCCCCCCTATAGTACCCTGTAAAGAATCCCCCTCCCCCATTAATAAACTAAGAAAGAATCGAACAGCTAAGCGTAACTACGAAGTATAGTACTCTGTAACAAATTTCCCCCTTTTTGCAAGATCTAATAATTCATCAAAATTCATCACTAGCAAAGCAAACTCAAAATTGGGTTCATTAAAAAAGGAAATCTAAGTGCGGTCTCATTAAAATAAAAACAGCCTTTTGGCTTCTAGCTGTTAGTATTTGAAAGCTGAAATTGATTCAAAAGCGATAAACGTTATCTAATCAACTCAACAACAAAGACTCCTCTCTGATTAGCCGATATATTTTACTTTGATACTAACACTCCTACGCTACTAATACATGGAGTACCAGCAAACATTTTAACAGGAAGGGGGTGGGAATATAGGAATATGAGGATCAGTTTCCCCTCAAAATTGACATTGGAAGTCCTCGGCCGGACACACGATGTCCTGAGCTTCATAGGAAAAGACTCAGAAGAGAAATAATTGCCCCCGAAACCTCAAAAAGTCCACGCCTTTACCATTTATAATCTAGCCAATTTTTGAAAGAACTATAATGCTTCAAAACCCTATATGTTACTTGAAGTTTAAAAATTAGTTTTAAGAGAGAGTAGGCAAATAACATTATGATTGAATGACATTTGTTTCGGCTCCACGCAAGTTAAAATGGCTCTATAATTTTTTTTTAAGACAGCCAACAGTCGTGCTTACTTTAAAACCTTTCAAAGAAGTCAGTCACGTTTTTCGCACCATTTACTTTTTTTATTGGAGAGCATAATTTACCTACTGTTCCGCCACTTTGACGCACGTGTCAAAAATTTATCAGACAACAAAAGAAACAAAATAGGCTACTTAGCTGAAAGAATTCTGAATCTATTTGCTAAAGTTATTCAAATTATTCTTTTGGGAATTGATTTTAACTGTTTTAGTTGAGACTTGACTTTTGTTCAGTTTTAATTGACTTTCTTAAAGTTTTTATTGTTGTCTGTAATGTTGTTTACACGTGCGTCAAAGTGACAGGAACATAGCCGGGCCCAATTGCAGGTTGCAAATAAAATCGTTTTGTCGAAGGCATGTGTGTCGTCAGTAGTAGTAGTCGCAGTCAAAGAGTTGTCCGTAATGATGGGTCTGATGATGAATCTACTGTCTTTCTGCTGCATCTTGCACTGTTGTCATTGACGAAGTTGCTGTTGATCGGAGATGGTTTCTGCTTAGTTAGTCTCCTAAACTAGTAAGAGTTTTATAACGGATCTTGTGAGGTGTCCATGGTTGGTATGTACTTTACAAGACCTTACTACTCCATCGGCAGCAGGAAACGTGCGGAGTACGCGTCCCAGGGGCCAAAGTCCGCGAGGGGTGAGGTCTTCGAGAATCTAGACTAGATCTCTTGGTCGTATGTTATCAGCGGGCTTCGTCCATTTTCGGCGTTGGCAGAGGGTAGGCAAGTATTTGCGTAGATAGAAGTCGTTTCCAGAACTGTTGAGCTGGAGCTTGTGCCTGTTTCCATGAAGTAGTCTGACTTTCGTCCTGTGAAAAAAGTCGTGTGAAAAAAAGGCTACTTAGCTGAATGAATACTGGATCTGTTTGCTAAAGTAACTCAAATGGCCTTTTTGGGAATTGATTTTAATTGATTTAGTTGAGACTTGATTTTTGTTCAGTTGGCAATTGACTTGTGTTATGTTTTTTTGTTGTCTGTAATGTTTTTGACACGTGCGTCAAAGTGGCTGGAACACCTTCATTTTGCAAGCTAAATTGAAAAAAAAAACTGAAAGTCCAACCGTGGAAGCAATTGAGCGTGAACAATCTTAAGACTTTTTTGTGAAAAATTAAGACGCACATACCCGTACGGACCTGATGTGAGGTCAAGTGCCATCATGGATGCCACACTGACGCGACGAGATTGGGGTTTCGGCTGAGAAGGGACGCAAAGCCAGTTCTACAGATCGTGATTTTCAACTTTCTGTTACCAAATGTATCATTTAATTGAACGATGCTTTAGTACTTAATCAATGCCACTCCACCTTGAATGAGTTGCGCTTGATCAACAAGTATAATATATTTAATGAAAAGAGCAATTACGTCGTACAAAAAGTAAATTGAAACCAAATTCTGTCCCGAAGGCTTATCATAAAAATGGGGAAAAAATTTATAATGAATTTCAATAAAACTCCATAGAAAAAAAAATTTATGATTAAGTAGGGGCGGATCTAAAAATTTCTTGAAGATGGGGGGTGGATTTTGAAAAAAAAGTTTTCAAAAATTTAGTCGATTTTTTTTTTCGTTGAGCATATGATTTTCCGAGCTCTCCCAAAGCCATAAAAAGACACTGTTTTTGTCGTAAATTTCGAGCCGCTGGCAAAATTTTGAAAACCAGACCTTTTAGACACTTTTTGGAAAAACTTGATGAAAAACTACCACTTTTGCGAGCGATTCCTCCTCAAAAATAGTAAATTTTGGCGCCTTTAGAAAAATTTTAGGGTCTCTCAGCTAAAATTGGATATCTCAAAATAGTAACAAGGGGAATTCTTTGGGTCGGCAAAGGATTGAATGCCTGAGGGGCCATCCTCCCCAAGTCATTACCCCTAAATCCGCTACTGATCACTGGCTTTTTTCCATTCTTTAGAGTTGAGTGATATTTTTTTTTGGATTCAACGGAATGGTATGGTTTTTTCAAGGACAAAATTTCAAAAAAATACTCTATTGTCTGTTGTTCATAACAAAAAATCAATTGAGGCAAAATTCAAGTCCTAACCCAGCGCAACGTGTCGTTCCCTCAACAGAAGATAAAAATTATCAAAATTACTTTTGAAATTTAACCGCTGTTATTGGGTTTTCTGTATGTTTCTCTCCTTTATTTAAAAACAGCAAAAAAAACTCCTGAAAAAAACCAACACCAGGATTGCCACAACTTAAAAGTAACTGACAAATTGAAGACGCCTTTCCAAAGTCCAGTTCTGAAAATCCAAAGCACAGTTCCGAGAAGCATTACATCTCCATTACTTAGAAACAAACAAAGTAAATGTGAATGATGATGATGATTGATCAAAAACAATAAGTTTTTTCCTTTAACGATAAAACTAGTTTCTGACTTCTTCGTTTTGGTCGGCGGCGGATCTAGAAATTTCTACGGGCAAGCTGATTTTCAAAACCTTTTCGAGATTTTTGTCGACATTTGTTAAGTCGACCATATTGAGTTTCCGACCGCTTCCAGAACACTATACAGACTTTATTTGGTCAAAAAAATTGACACAGTTTTTGGCACGTTTTTGGACACTGTTTCGAAAATTTTGATTTTTTTTTCCGCCGCACTACCCCTTAAATGTGTAATATATTAACACAAAAGGCGCCTTTAGAAAAACTTTTAGGGTTATTTGGTCAAAAAGAGATTTCCTAAAAGATACCGAAAGGGAACCCTTTGGGCGGGCAGGATATTATATTCCGTATTAAGGAGGCATCCGCCCGCCTACCCCTAAATCCGTCTCTGGCTTTGATGACCAATATGTTCGTAATTAACCAAAAACCAACTCAGGCTCATTTGAACTTACCTAAATACTCTTTTCGAAAGATTTTTGATTTGAAACTTTCTTAATAGAAAACATGCTTTTCATACCAATTTCGTTAAAAGAAATTGTATGAAGAGCTTTTGTTTAGCTGAATGCTACCTAAAATTTAGAAATTAGTTTTTAAAAAGATTAGGCAAATAACGTTATTATTGATTGGCCAGCTGGCGCATAGACATTTGATTTGACTCCATGCAAGTTGAAAATATAATAATATGTCTCAATCAAAAACTTATATCAAAGATTTAGTCAAAAACCTGATTTGGGCGCGAGTTCTTTCTCAAAAGTAGCATATATTGACGCCAAATGCACCTTTAGAAAAGTTTTAGGGTCGTTCGGCCAAAAAGGATATCCTCAAAAGTAGCAATTGGGCGACTCTTTGGGTCGGCAGGGGGTCGAATTTCTGAGGAAAAAGGCGTCCGCTCCCAACCCCCTCCCCCCACTAAATCTGCCTTTGATTCCGATGGCCGCTATGTTTTTATTCAACTGAAAACCAAATTAGGCTCATTTGAACTTACCTAAGTAATCTTTTCTAAATATTTCTGATTTCAATTTTTTTAATAGAAAATATGCTGCTTTTCATATCATTTTCATACAACGAATATAGATAATCATAAAAATCTCTTCTCAAAAATTATGACAAGCTTTTTTATTAGAAAAAAGTAATTGATGACCATTAATTTTAAATGTAATTTTTTTCCTAGAAATCTTTTCTTGAATGATTTCTGATTCAATGGAAAAGCATTTTTTTATATAATAAAGCTTTTCTGTAAAAATTGACACCAATGTTTTTTTTAAATTTAAAACATGAATGAAACTCTTTCAATTTCATTCATGCCTAAGAAACTTTTTAAAAAAATTTTAAAGAAAAATTATGTAAAAAAAGTTTTCATAAATGGTAATTGTATGATAGGATTTTTTTTGCAAGGATTTTTTTAGTCCTTCCACTGG